AAACACCATCTGCTAATCTACATCTTCTAGTTTCCTGCCCTATGGAAGAGGATATGCTTGTGTACTATTTCTGTCATATCTGTCTTTTACAAACACCATCTGCTAACCTACATCTTCTAGTTTCCTGCCCTATGGAAGAGGATATGCTTGTGTACTATTTCTGTCATATCTATATTTTACAAACACCATCTGCTAACCTACATCTTCTAGTTTCCTGCCCTATGGAAGAGGATATGCTTGTGTACTATTTCTGTCATATCTTATTAAAGAATGGCTGAGGCTATTTGCCCGGTTGTAGTGTATCAGTTATGAGTTTGGTAATACGTAAGGCAAGATCAAGAATTTCGACGGGTAACGATGTTATGTTTGCTAAATAATAATTTGTTATCTAACATTGGTTATTTTCGAGATGGCTTGACTTGCTAAAATCTGGCGCATAACTCGAGTCTCGTAGCAAACGAGATTTTTCCAGTAGACTATGGTGACTGCTGTGTGAATAGCGAAACTCGTTAAATAAAAGGAAAATATATTTCCCTATATTTATAAATTAGAAAACTGGATCTAAATTGATCAAAGGGATCATTTGTTTTTAGATGACCACTTTCCAAAAGTGATCATTTGTTTTTAGATGACCACTTTCCAAAAGTGATTACCTGTTTTTAGATAACCACTTTCCAAAAGGGATCATTTGTTTTTAGATGACCACTTTCCAAAGAAATTACCTGTTTTTAGATGACCACTTTCCAAAAGGGATCATTTGTTTTTAGATGACCACTTTCCAAAAGGGATTACCTGTTTTTAGATGACCACTTTCCAAAAGGGATTACTTATTTTTAGATGACCATTTTACACAATTTAGTTACATAAGAGATTTATTGTCTTATGCTCTTCTGATTGAGCTAGCTGGCCTAGGAGTGATTTACAATGCCAAATTTAAATCCTCTTGTGTATCCTATACTTCTAAAACTTCCTTTTCCCTCCAAAAGTCTTAGTAAATCATTATAATTTGTAATATTTTGTCAATAATTCTATGCAGCCAAATAAACAACAACAACAAAAACTAACAGAAATAATCAGTTAATGAGTCATCAATAAAGAGGTATGTAAATTTTATAATATTGAAATTAATTTAAAAAATGTTTTTTTGAGTTATATTGTCGTTTTGTTTTATCCTGTTATTTAATTATTCATCTGTTAAGAGTGTTTTAAATCATAGTTTATATTGGTTATATTAGAAATATAACACTTATCAATATTTTTAATGATCTTTCTGTAATATTTTAGTTATTCCTTTCCCCACGGGTTTGGAGAGTTTACATCTGGTGTTCATCTCCGACAAGTATACAAACAGAAGAGGCTTTAACATCCGGGTAACCCAGCTCCGTGGTTCTTGCTACAGGGCTGTTGGTACGTTTTAACCACAAGTTTAAAAAGAAAAATAACCATGATGTAACACTTTTTTTATAACGTTGTTACAGATAATTTACTTTGTTGTTACTACTTTCGAATAAATCTAATATACACTGAGTGGTCACAAGTAAATAGACACCTAATTTTTCGTCATTTAACTGATTTATGCTAACTAATTTGTGTTCACAGAGCATTATATAAATAAAAATGGTCCACACACTAATTAAAAATGCCATGAAATTACATAGAGAGCTTTTAACTTGACTGTTGGGATAACACAGTTAACAATGAGATACTTATGTGAAAAAAACCACGAAATGAAATTATGTAGAGAACATTTAACTTGACTGTTGGGATAACACAGTTAACAATGAGATAGTTATGTGAAAAAAAGCCATGAAATGAAATTACATAGAGAACTTTTAACTTGACGGTTGGGATAACACAGTTAACAATGAGATAGTTATGTGAAAAAAACGCCATGAAATGAAATTATGTAGAGAACATTTAACTTGTTTGTTGGGATAACACAGTTAACAATGAGATAGTTATGTGAAAAAAAGCCATGAAATGAAATTATGTAGAGAACATTTAACTTGATTGTTGGGATAACACAGTTAACAATGAGATAGTTATGTGAAAAAAAGCCATGAAATGAAATTATGTAGAGAACATTTAACTTGGTTGTTGGGATAACACGGTTAACAATGAGATAATTATGTGAAAAAAAGGAACACTGTTTATATAAGCCAACCACTGCTGTGGATATGACAAATATAGTGTGTTTGGAATACTACTATTGTACACACTTCTAGTTTTTAAAATCCCTAACACATTAGTATTGGGCCTATTACGTTCTCTACATAATTTCATTTCATGGCGGGGTATAGAAAAAAATTAAAACTAACAGAAATAGAACATTCTAACTAATACTGTTAATGAATACAGTATACTAGCTTTTAAAACTGTCGTAAACATATGTTCGTTGAATAACGTATTGAATTTGGTTTAATGTTTTCAACGTAATTTCATTTCATGGCTTTTTTTCACACAACTATTCATTGTTAAGGTGTGTTATCCAAACAATGAAGTTTCACTGTTAAGGTATGTGTATGCCTTTCATAAGCCGGCAAAGAATGATTACAATTTCACTTGTCGTAAGACATTAGTATTAAACCTATTTCATTTTTAAACACTATATTCTTAATGTATTCCTTTAAGGATTTTCAAGAATTAGAACAATGTAAAATAACAGTATTTCAACCACAATATATTTGTCATATCCATTGCCAATGGTACGTTTTGCTCAATCCTGAGCTTTTTAGGCTGGCTGGGATACAACAAACACAGTAGTGGTAATGGTGGACACAGCATAGATAGTCCATCGTGTAGCTTCGTGCTTAACAACAACAACAAAAAACAACTTTGATTTATTGTAATTAAACTTTCATTATAGAGATTGGTTTGCGTTATTAGCTAATATGTGGATGTAGGACTAACCTAAATATTTTAAGCTTGCCACACCTCTTGAGATATTACTGGGTTTACGGCCGAAAATACTGTTAATAGTGAAGGTACCAAACTGATGAAAATATGCATTTTAATCTTTTCAAGTAAGAACATAAGGAAATTATACGTAATTAGCTATACTTATTATCAGGCTGATTTTTAGTTTTACTGTTATTAGGTAACTTGCTGTGATCGAAAGTTGCTATTTAATTAATAAAAAATGTTAAACGAACAGTAATTAATGTACACATACACACGTTTATAGTTTAGACGTTGTTGTTATTTTCTCAGTTTATAGCTACACAATGGGCTACACGCACCCTGTCCACCACGGGGGAATCTAACCCCAGATTTTAGCATCGTAAATTCGTGATTTTACTTGTGATCCATCGAGGAACACTTTAAACGTACAACAGAATTAAGAAAACAAAACGTTTCGTTCTTCAGGGGATTCGAATACTTGTGATACGTTACGTGATGCCAGCGGTGTGATACAGACCAGTAACTATCCTGCCTCGTATAATCCAAACACAGACTGTAGTTACAAAATATTTCGACACAGCAGCGCCATCTGCCGGTTAGAGATCTACTTCTCGAAGTTTGACGTTGGTCAGGGTGAAAGCGAAGGTTGTGATGGAGATTATCTACAAATTCATGGCTCCCGATACTGCGGGATTTTGGATGGACAAACAGGTTACTGTCTTTACTGATAATAAATGTTGACTATCGATTATAACATTAATATATTGCCTTCTAATATTTTTTTTAGTGATGTTAACATTTGCAGTTGATGTTGAAATTTTTTAAAAGCAAGGTTCAAGTTAGCTAACTATAAACATATAAGTTCTAGATTTCTATATATATTGAATGAACTATAAATATAATAGACTAGTGTATGGTGTATGTATACCGGTGTATGGTGTATGTATACCGGTGTATGGTGTATGTATACCGGTGTATGGTGTATGTATACGGGTGTATGTGTATGTATACGGGTGTATGGTGTATGTATACGGGTGTATGGTGTATGTATACCGGTGTATGGTGTATGTATACGGGTGTATGGTGTATGTATACGGGTGTATGGTGTATGTATACCGGTGTATGGTGTGTGTATACCGGTGTATGTATACCGGTGTATGGTGTGTGTATGTATACCGGTGTATGGTGTGTGTATGTATACCAGTGTATGGTGTATGTATACCGGTGTATGGTGTATGTATACGGGTGTATACCGGTGTGTGGTGTATGTATACGGGTGTATACCGGTGTATGGTTTATATTCATAACAAAATATTCTTATATTTTATATTTTCAGTATTTTCTAGTAAAAACGTGGGGCGTGGTTTATTAATGAAAACTCTTATCATCATAGAAACGACAAGTTAAAATAGACGATGTTATCCAAGTTTCTCAACACGACACTGATCGTACTAACAAAATTATTATTATTATTATTATTTTTTTTTAGTACACGTTCCTTTTCCGAAAAATGAGAATGAGATTGATTTCCCTTTCCGAACGGATGGAACTGCCCAGAAATCAGGATTTCGGTTAGAAGTGAAACAGTTGAGCCATGGATGTGACGAGGAACGTTCTACCAAAGGTCGCTACTTATCCCCTCTTCCTCTCCCCTAAAAATAGTCTTTTTTTTTTTAAATGAAACTTATTTTGGCTCGAAACACGGATAAGCTTCTTGATAACTGTTTAAGTGAGAATTGTGGGATAGGTTGGTAAAATATGGGTGTAAACTAGGTAAAATATGGGTGTAAAACTTTCAAGTAATGAAAGGAATTGAAGCTTATAATAACTGTTTGAGAGAGTAACGTCAATCTTATAGAAATTTATTGTGGATTTGTGAATTCAAACTTAATTGCAGTGTTTGTGTGTGTATGTAAGGTACATTTTATGTATCTTACTAGCATAATCGTATGAGTAGTTGTGGTCAGTTGTACACTCCTTTTGGTCAATGCTGTTAGCGATATTCAAACGTTACAAATCTATCCGGCATGGCCTGGTGGTTAAGGCGCTCGAATCGCAATCTGTGGGTTACAGGTTCGAATCCCCGTCATCAAACATGCTCGCCCTTTCAGCCGTGGGGCGTTATAATGTGACGGTCAATCCCACTATTCGTTGGTAAAATAGTAGCCCAAGAGGTTGGCGGTGGGTGGTGATGACTAGCTGCCTTTCACTGCTAAATTAGGGACTGCTAGCGTAGGTAGCCTTCGTGTAGCTTTGCGCGAAATTCAAACACAGACTATTAATCTTTCTTACCGTTTGATGGTCTATTCTGTATCACTCACTCTTCTCCTTCTAGTTAAGCCTTTTTAATGAGCAAAGCCGAGAAAAAACCTCGTTTTTTTTTTCTCTCAATACGTATATTTATTTATTTAAACTTCTGCTACGTGGATAAGATACTAGCTACACAGAAAAACTGACGCGTAAAAATATATATATGAATATAATTTCTTTTTCCGAATTTTTGTACAAAGCAACACAAAAGGATTTTTGCGCTTAGCCGTCCTTAATTTTGGATTGATAGACGAAATAGAAGGCAGCCAGTCAACAAACAGCACCCACCGCCAATCCTTGGGGCACACCGGATAGTGATATTTATCCACTATCATAGCGCACCCACGACTCCAAAGTGCGTAGGTGGGGACACCGGTAAGTCTATGGACTTATATCGCTAACATCCGGGGTTCGATTCCCCCGCGGTGGACACAGCAGATAGCCCAACGTGGCTTTGCTCTGCAACAAACAGAACAACTTAGAGAATAAATGTGATATGTGAGCCAGTTAATTCCTGTTCTTTGATAAAGTTGGTCATGCTTCATTATTTCTCTATTAGATTGCGATATCACCTTTACAAAAGAAACGTTCCAGATTATCAGCCCCGGGTACACGAATAGGTCCTACCCTTCTAACATAGACTGCAAATACACAGTGAAAAAAAGCACATTTGACGTGTGCGCTATCGAAATCAAGTTTAATGCCTTTCGTTTAGAGGAATCCGAAGATTGTACCAAAGATTATTTACAAATTGGAGACGAGAAACTTTGTGGAAAACTACCATACGATTCACTTCGTAAGTCAAACAAACTTTTGTTTTATTTCGTGATAAATGTTGTATTTATGGTGTTTAAAGTTGTCTTTAACTCACCACGGTGAACCTATATTATACAGGATTGGATGAATACGTAACATTGATGCTACTAATTTATTCTTCTGAATTATTTAGCAGCTAAGCTGCTTAAAATAATAAAATAAGCATAAGCCTAACTTATCTATCGATTCATCACTTCTCACTGAGTTATACATATCTTACGTGCTCCTTATATTTGACTTGCCCTTTGTCCAGCGTTACTGATGAGGGATGGAATTTCCTGAAATTGGTATAACTCATTGACAAGTGAGTAATAGTTGTTTTTTTTTATTGATTTCATTGCTTCTTCTGTTTGCACGTGTTAATAAAATGGTGAAATTTGATATGAAAAATTTTAAAACGAACTCTTGCATATAAAAGGACAATTGATATTTAAAGTTTAAAAAAAATTTACTGACGCTTCTCTTTAACATGAAAGTTGGATTCAAACTGAATAACGATATACGGAGGAATTATTAAATTTCGGTGGTATCCCCTATTAGTAACCATTTTCATATCATGGGCAAGTTAATTCTGCTGTGTCAATGATATACTTAACTGGAACTTAATTCCACACATTCAGTATTTAAATTAAGCATTAACGTTTCGTTATCGTTCATGTAAAGATGCTAATAATGTATGTATGATATTGTTATGTTCTTGTGTGTATATTTTAGCGATAAACAAGATAACAAATCAAACAAATCAGTTACGTTAGTAATAGATAACTGATTAAAAAGAGGTTAAGCAGAAGGTGATACATTAGCACCAATCGAGAAGAACTGATAGCATAAATTAAGCAAATATGGCCCGGTGTGTTATACTTGTGTGTTATAACATGCTTGCATTGTTAGTGATATTTGAATTTTGAACTAAGCGACGCATACAATGAACACTTTTCACACTATCCCGAGTGCATGACATTTTCCCCACTAGTGTTACCGTTTCTTACACGAGTACGTTGTATAATATTACATGCAACGTGAGTTAACTCTCATACTGATGACTGAAATAAATAGCATTTCATTTGAGACTTTAGGAGTTGTGAATATAAACTTACTCGATAGACTCTTTCTATATATATAAAGCACAAAAATCTGTGTGTATGTCTGTTTGTCCTTTATATAACTACTCTTAGGTCGTTGGGCCGATCTCAACCAAACTTAGTGGGATGATAGTTTGGAACAAGGGGCACGTTAATGAAGAGTTCATAAAACCCCTTTATTCCTATTATTGCTATTATTGAGCATTTGTTACCTTTGACGTAAGTTAATGTTTAACTACATTCATAGAAGGCGCCACGTCCTTACACACTCACAAAAAATTAAATTTTCTATAACACAACGTACACACAGTGTGTGTGAGGGGGGGGGGGCAACAAACGTCTTATATATATCTCGGAGAGTGCGCCAGCACTCTACGAAGGAATGCAATGAAAAGAAATGCCTGCCACAATTGCAATAATACATAAACTCGGCTGAAGTTTCTACTCTAACAATAATCATAAGGCTGATATGAAGAGCCGTTTCTTGAGTTATACCCACTTCCTACTTTGACTCGTGACCTTTCAACTGACCCGTAAGTCACTTCCGCGGCCAATTACTGTCAATTAATTAATCACGCGAAACATCGTGAAAGGACATTAAGATCTCGGTGTTGAAAGCAGGTAACAGCTAGCGCCCCCTACTTTTGTCGATACCTCTTAATACAAAGTCACCCTGACCATAGCGCACAGTGTATACCATGTTTTAAGTATATACGTATTGAGTTCTTAAAGCTGATACAAACTTTTTGATGGGGTGATAATAAATACTGTAATAATATGTTACGTTATAAATAAACTGTGTGAAAGTTAGGATTTTTGTGTTATTTATCATAGCATCCACACACACATTTTTTAAAGTTCATAATCCGGACAAAGGACGGATATCTCGGCTTGTATAGTATAGAACAAAACGACATGTCGGCTTAAAACAGGTGAAGCAAAGCTGGAAAAGACTCGCAATCTGAGGGTCACGGGTTCGAATCCCCGTCACACCAAACATGCTCGCTCTTTCAGCCGTGGGGGCGTTATAATGTGACGGTCAATCCCACTATTCGTTGGTAAAAAGAGTAGCCCAAGAGTTGGAGGTGGGTGATGATGACTAGCTGCCTTCCCTCTAGTCTTATACTGCTAAACTAGGGACGGCTACCCCTCGTGTAGCTTTGCGCGAAATTCATAACAAACCAAACTTAATAGACACTAAAATGACGTAGTAGCTATTATTTCTAATCTTGTTTCGATTTTGTTTGTTTCATATATATCTATATATTCTACTTGACTTTTGTTCCTTTTTAATTTTCTAGATACCTACCAGTTTCCGGCGGATGAGTTACTTCTTGCACTACACACAGACACCTACGCAAATTACGCGGGATTTTTTTTAACGGGAAGACAAGTATCTTGTTGAATTTTCTGTTCTGTATTTATTTAACATTTTGTGATTCACGTGTTTCGAACGTTGTTTACACGTGGTTAATACGATTACTTAAAAGCATTTCAACATCAAAATAATTATTTTAGAGATAACATTTATCCAATAAACTATAACTTCTCTGAACTTTATCGATTATCGAAGTCATTTTGTTGTTGTACTAAAAATTTACCCAATGTTTCCATACGGAATTTGGAATTACTTATTTGCAACGTTCGTGTTTAGGTTTGGTTTGTGTTGTTCGAGAAGTTTAATCAAGTATGTAGTCGTCAGAAAGCGAATAGAGACTACTGGGACAAAAGTAATTGGTTTTTGACTTAAAACTTTGAAATTAATATGTCACTGGGATAATAAAGCGTCATGAGGCCCTGGGGAAATGCATAAATTTAGAATTTAAACTTTACTGATGGTGTTTATATATATAATTTGTAATCTTGTGCAGTGTTTCCTAAAGTGGGAGCCGCGGCCCCCTGGGAGCCGTGAAGCTTTTTCTGGGGGGCCGCCAAAAATGGGCCGAAAACAAAGATGTCGAATTAATTTTAATTCTAAATAAATAATAAGACGATAAAAATTACGTTGAATTAATTAAATGACACAGTATGTTGAAAGGAGATGTTATTGTTTTTACTACGGTACTGTTTTTTAATCACAATGCTAAAGTTATAGGCTGGGGGGGGGGGGCTTAGACTTTTTCTATTCACATCAAGGGAGCCTCAGACTAAAAGAGTTTGGGAACTACTGATCTAGTGTATCGTATACATTACATCAAACATATTTTTTTTACTTTCAACCTTTTTTTTTTGTTGATTTTATATGAAATATGAAATTAAATCAATCTGAAGTATTTTTCATTAAAAAAGTTCAGTTATTTTCAGCATATTATTTTTAGTTGTTATAATACTAATATAACTTCAAATTCCTGGACTCCTTTTATCGATAGATGGCGTCTGTATGATGTGTGATAATGGTATTTCGATATATTTTTGGGGTGAGTCAAAAATTAGTTGATATTATACGGTTGATACAGTGGTATTATACGGTTGATACTAAATAAAATATTGCGAAGACAGTTGAAACCAATTTAATTATTGTTTGTTTCAGAGTAATATTTAGAAAATGAACTCAGTTTGAAACGTAACAACTGTATAGTCACTTTTGCCACACTACACCCTCTACATGCTTGGTTTCTAAAGTATGTAAAGCTTAAAATGATTTGTATTTACAGGAAATAAACGACCTTATAAATCCCAAATGTTGTTTTTATTTAATTATACACTCAACGTTTCGCTTTAGAGCTTCTTCAGGAGCGTTCTCTGAAACACAAACCGAAATTAACAGTTCAAAGCTTCAAATCTGAAGCTTTGTACTGTCAGTGCCCCCAGAGGCACAGCGGTATATCTGCGGACTTACAACGCTATAAATCGGGTTTCGATACCCGTGTTGCGCAGAGCACAGATAGCCCATTATGTAGCTTTGTGTTTAACTTCAAACAAACAAACAGAAGTACTGTCGGTTTCGGTTTGTGTTTTAGAGAATGCTTCTGAAGAAGCTGTGAAGCGAAACGTTGAGTGTTTAATTAAATAATAACAACATTTTGGTGTTTTAAGGTCGTTTATTTCCAGTATTAATATGTCACCAATATGCAGTACAGAAATTAAGTAATAAGTTTTATAATGTCTTGTATTTCTAGGTAGGTTTTTCTCAATATACCAAAATGTTATAATTTGAAATACAACAATGTGAAACGTATCATCTTCCTGCCAGGAATTTTGATTTCGGTCAAATAATATTGCGACTAAATACTGTAGTTAAAATAATCTTTAATTTTTTTTACTAAGTTTTATGTAAATATCGATGTACACGTTACATGTGTGACTTTATTGACATGGATTTAGAGGAGATTTTAAAGAAAAAGCACGAACATTCACGTATCTATTAATAAAGGACTATTAAATAACCTTGAATATATTTTAGCATTTTAAACCCAAATCCTATGAAATAAAATATATTTTTCAAATAATTTTATGTGGTGGTGAGTAATTTAGATTAACTATGAAATGAATAAAAAATACTTATTGCCAATTAGTAATGAATGTGTACTACCTATTATAGGTAAAGAAACTTCAGTATTAGATCTACACCTTATTGTCAATTAGTAATGAATGTGTACTACCTATTATAAGTAAAGAAACTTCAATAGTAGATCTACACCTTATTGTCAATTAGTAATGAATGTGTACTACCTATTATAGGTAAAGAAACTTCAATAGTAGATCTACACCTTATTGTCAATTAGTAATGAATGTGTACTACCTATTATAGGTAAAGAAACTTCAATAGTAGATCTACACCTTATTGTCAATTAGTAATGAATGTGTACTACCTATTATAGGTAAGGAA